TAAAAGATTACATACGGATAAGAAACATTTTCATAATGTTCTCTTTTCTGCGTTTTATAGCAATTTGAAAACCACTTGGGCCGCTCCGCAGTCGAAAAATCGGCTTTTTCTGCTTCTCAATATGTGATTCGACCACTTAAAAAGCTCAGAAAGTTGCGAAAAGTTCTTTCATGAATCAGAAATGAACACTACTACATTTTTTACATAATATAAAAATGATGACGGGTTTTCAAAACAGGTCAAAAGGGACTTCGTACGAAATTTTCAATATCAAACGGGACTTCGTTTTGAAATTTCCCTGGTGCCAGCTCGTGCCGAGCCCTGCTCTGTGCACAGCTTGCCAAATGAATACAGAGAAAAAACGTCATTAGAGTTCCGAATTAGACGATTTCAAGCAAATCGATAAAAATTTATAGGGTAGCGACAGATGTAAACACTCAGTGTGATTAAACAAAGTATGCTAATCTTTCAGTTTTTATGTTACGTCTGCTTTGAAGCTGGGCATTCTTCGTAGAGAATATGTGTTCTTTTGTGCCGTACAGGATTTTGAGAACAGAAAAAAAACGTCATTAGAGTTTACTGAGCTTGAGCATTTACTTATGTAGGTGAAACAGCGTCGCTATTTCAAAAGCTTGGATTTAGTTTTCTTGGTTTTTAGCACAAATGCAAGTACACCAACAGCGTATACGAATGTCTTGACTTTTCAATTTTCAAGCATGTGAAACTTCTCAGATTTAGAATTTTGAGTCGTCATGTGCTGAAGCTGTTCTGAACACTCACACGCCATCTTACAGAGCTTGCTTTGCTCAAACGGACGGCACCTATATATTAATAAAACTCAAACTCTGTAAGTTGGTTAGCATGTATATGGCCTACAGACTCCTTTGTGCGTGGACAATTAAGGTCAAAATTCGCTCTCCTATAGATGAGCATTGCACCAAAGGTAGGCTACTTTTCGCGAAGATTCGCTGGCACTTCAACTGATTTATTGATTTCTTTACTTACATGTGAGGGACTGAACTTATCAATCATTCTTGGACCATAGCTAGGTAAGCGGGGCGGTTAACCTCATTTACATCCTGCGGCGAAGGGGATTCGGTTTGAGTCAGCAAGATAGATCACAGAAGCGCTTAATACGGAAAAGGGAAAGGAGTGAGCTTTTGGATCGGTGACCCCTCAGCAGACCTTCCTGGTCAGGACTGTGGACTCGTCTAGTTCTAAATAAATTCTAAGATAATCGCCGGGGGCAGGCGGTCCGCAAACTCGCGCTTTTCTGCAGGCGGTCATCAGAATTTTGGGGAGTGGCCAATCCTTAAACGGCAATTCCTTTACGGTCGCATATTCTGCCGGCGGGCAGCAATACAGCATTTTTTGCAAGTGCTCGGCAAATAATTCCTTTCAGCGAGCGCTGGTCAAACTTTCAGCAAGCGCTCCGACTCTTTTTACGCAGTTTCGGGCGTACGCCGAGAAGAGGTCAGACTCTATGTGGCAGGGGTGTCATCGATGGTTTGATTACCCAAGTACTCAGATAATCGCGGGAGGCAGGCGGTCCGCAAACTCGCGTTTTCTTGCAAGCGGTCAGCAGAATTTTAGGGCGTGGCCAAACCTTCACCGAGAGGTACCTCCTTTACTTTCAAATGTCCTTCTAGCGGGGCAGAATACAGAGTTTTCTGCGGGCGCTCGTCAAATAATCTCTTTTAGAGAGCGCTGACCAAACTTTCAGCAGGCGCTCGGACTCTTTTTAAGCAGTTTCGGGCGTATGTCGAACAAATGTGAGATTCTATGCTGCAGAGGTGTCATCGATGGTTTAATTAATTACTCAAGTTTGAGGTACTTTCTCTTAGCGGAAAGTACCTGAGGGCTGTGCGGTCCTCCACAGAGGACCGCGCGGCCCTCAATAATTTTGCATATTATCGCGGAAATCCGCGAGAATGCCGCCAATGTGCCGCAACTAATCTATAGGAAAATTGCGATAGTTCTCCGAGCGTTCGTCTAAAAAGTGATTTTTCAGAATTTCTGCAAGCGGACTGCACGAGAGCAGCGAACTATTTTTCCGGTGCCCGCTTGCTCATAATTCGCATGGCCGCCTGCCCCTCGCGATTATCTGAGTATGGGGTACCTTCTTCCAGCGGAAGGCTTGGGCAGTGCGGTCTTTCACAAAGGACCGTGCGGCCCCCAACAACCTTGCATCTTCTCGCAGAAAGTCCGAGAGAATGCGGCCACTGGGCTGCAACTTATGCACAGAAAGACCGCGATAGTTCTCCGAGCGTTCGTCTAAAAATTGGCCAAAATTATTCCAAATTTCTGCAAGCGGACCGCAAGAAATCAGCGAACTATCTTTCCCGTGCCCGCTTACTCAGAATTCGCATAACCGCCTACCCTGGCGATTATTTGATTTTGCGAAGTGTATGACCTAATGCGCTAAAAAGTGAAAATTGAAAAAAACTTATGAGACCTAATAGCTGCCACAAAAGTTGCGAAAGCTGAGACATATAAAGGAAGTAAAATCGAAGAGCCAATGCTAGCGCGTATGCCACTGATGTACTGCCGTTGCATCGATGATTGCTGCGTTGCGACAACTACACAGTTCGAAACGAACAACTGTTACGAGACTTTGAATCAGCAATCACGATGCATCTGATTCACACATAAGACACCACATGCCTGCCTTGCCTGAATGCGCAATAAAGTTGACCGATGTCACTGTGAGCGTTGAGTGGCACCGCAAGGAACGTCCAAAAACATCTTCATTAACCTTAAATCCGCACATCCTGCATCTGTCAAGCTTGGTTTCCTTAGGAATATGTCTAAAACGGCAATGTAGACGTGCGGCAAAGATGAACGGCGCGAATCACTCAATTTGGTCACCCTTGTCGTGAAAGCATCTGGCTAAATGACGAAAGAACATGGCTTCAGCGCTTGGCGAACATAGGTACGAGATATACGGTGGTGAAGACTTTGATATCAAAATCACGTCTTCAACATTTGAAAAAGAGAATTCGATGGAAAGCTTTGCAAAATTTTGGATTACTGCAAAAAATTTAGAAATGATCAATAAAAAGGAATGTCTAACAATAACCGCTGACTTTCTCAGCTTCATATCATTATGTGTGAGTTATGACTGTAGATTCGTCCGTCGCGACCATCTATATGCGGCACGGACATCTGATTGAAGAAATGGTGGTTCCCTGGTAATCTTTGCTCTCGCAGCTTTTGTGGCAAGTAGATGGGTAAAAACCGAAAACTGGCGGAACTGAAGGACATTTGGTTGGCCATACTCACTGTTGGATTGAACCATTCTATCTGACGAAGACGAGAGCGTTGAAAGGTAAGGCCTTTGTTACTGACTAATAAAAGACCACCTAACAACCTATACGGCACAAAAGAACGCACAACTTATGTTAATCTGTCATATAAAGAATGACGTTTTACAGTGGAATAAATTGTCGCATTCTTCCCCAGTTGTAGTTTTATGAAAAGAACGTCCAATTGGCATAAACTTTGCAAATTCAAAAAGAGCAGGTTATAAAACTGCGCTAGACTGTTCTTAATTTTTACATATTATTTCAGACCCTTCAAGAACCCGCTCAGGGTTTGCAAACCTTTTACTGTCTCGTTACCTTCTTTCCGTACTTATGGAAGGGGTTGTCTTGAGACTTTGACAAATTGCAGTTGGTATTTTTAAAAGCTGCACACTTCCTGTCTAACCTGCTAAGTTGTTGATCTGCAAATTTTTCCAATCTGTATCAATCTTTGCATGCAGCACATCATTTCTTGTCGTATAGTTGATTGTGTTATAAGCTACAGATAAATTGCAAACCATTGCAAATCTGACAGTCTTTGCTGACAGTCTTGAGGGGGGGGGGGCAGCGAATGACCACAGAAGTGGTGAGCATTTTACAATTTTACATGGTAAGGCCTCGGGCAGAGTTCACGCGATTTCGTTGCCTCGATCCCCCCCCCCCCCTGAAAAAAATTACGAGCCCATTGCATGTAAATCATCTTCCATTCTGTATGTAGTAGCTAGTCACGATTGGTCTTGTTGAAGAACTACCACAACCGAAATGCAAGGTGCTAGACATGCAATAGACTCGAACCTTTTGTCTTGTTGGGAGAATCGCGGCGACGAAATTATGTGAGCTCTGTCCGAGGCCTAAGGCTCTCTCATGTGGTTACGATAAAATTTTTTATTTTGGCAAGAGACAGATAATATTTGTATTCTGCGGCCCACATCACTTCAATGTGTAATTTTCTATTAATTTTTCTAGCGTTTTTTAGTCGTTAGAAGATGTAGACAGTCACTATTGTTTTACCGAGCTTTATGGTTCAGTCTACCTCGCGTAAGTTAGTTTTTATCGGCTTCGATGCTCTTAAAATTCGCAAAAACTTAAATTCCACCAGTTTCCGAATCTGCGTAGATTTCCTGATCTGTTGTCAGTCAGCAATTTGTGAACATTTGTAGCTAACAACATGTTTACGAAGTCGAAGAATGAGTGCACCGCATTCGAAAAAAGAGGTCAGGGAAAATTGCAAAATTTAGTTGCTCGTAAGATGTTTGCACTAAATAAACGGTACATTCGAAAATATTGATTTCTCTGACTGACTTTCAGTCGCGTACATAGTCTCTTTACATACGAGATAAACTCAGATGCGGCATAAAGTAAACGTTTTCTCTGAATGAATGTGATATCCTTTTAGCAGACGGAATCAAACAGAAAGCTTGAAGCGTCTCGCCATTCTTTAGATATGTAGAACAGGAGATGTAACTGTGAAAGTCAGCTCTTTTCAGCGTACAGGGAAAGCAATGACGGTTGTACTTTTAGATAACAAAAAATGGTTACATTCATTAATGACGATGGGAAAGATCCCTTGCGAAAGGATTGTTTTACAGTTCGAACAATGTGCATGACCGGAATGAAACTCACCCCTAGCAGGCATCCTGCACATTTTTTGAAAAAATCTTCTTCTTTTTCATTCCTGTAGTCGTACTACCTTTCAAACTATTTCATAATAGAAAACAAGCGAACGTACATGGGGTCGAAGTTGCATGTCAAAATTGTTGCATCAGCTGCTATGGTACCTTCCCTTTTTATCGCTCCTTTTGCCGTGTATATATAATTTCCGGAACCAGAACCATTGGTGGAGACTCTGACCACATCGACGTAGAAGGGTTCAGGTTGCTAAAAAAATAATTCGAAGTCAGTGCAGTATACCTTGATATTCAAGTGCATGCAAAATGAACACACTAGGGCCGGTAATAATCTGGTCGAAGCTTCGAGTTTAACACATTGACGACTTTGTCGACATTGTCAAGGCTTGACACATCATGACTCCCACTGGAATGGCTACTAAATTGTTTCAAACCAAATCTGGGAGTTTTCTTTTATGCTCAATCTAGATATAACCCCATCTGTTTTTGCCAGCATTCCAACGCTACTGTAGATGTACTGTAAATGGAATTGTGCGTGATTTTATCTGAAAAATGTTGGCTGGTCCAAGAAAGGGTTTGGTCGTCAATGTGTTAAAGGCAGTGTCCGGGCAGAATTTCGCCTCTCCATATTTCTGCCATTCTGGAGCCTTTCCGTGGCCCTGATTACAGTTGTAAAGTCCAAATGTTCAAAACTGTCAAAAAAACCCGGTTCTTGGGGACCCTCTCTTCAAGGAGCGGACGAGTTTCGAATTGTTCGTCCCCATCGTCATGCCAGCGGGAGAAGCTACAACTGCAATGCAACTGCGATGCAACGGCAAACCTGCGTAAGCACTCGTCCTCAGGGGTGGTCTGTGATACGAAGGGGCGGCTTGTGATACGTATCACAGGCCCGTATCTCCTTTTAGAGGGCACGTCAAAGGATTGGACCAACGCAGATCGGATACTCATGGGCCCCGCTTTACAACTATATGCTAATCTGGGTGGATGGATCTTGCCTGGACGCTGCCTTTAAAGCTGCGTTAAATCAGAATTAACTTCGAGTTCCATTTTGAAACTCAGAGTTAAGTCCGAGATTCGTTTCTGAAACTCGAGATTTCGTCCTGCTGCTTGCGAAACTACTATAGTTGTTGAGGAGCCGCCATACGCTTCATCTCAAAACGCTCCGACTAGGTCCGGAGTCGAACTTCCGTTGCTCTGTGCGAAGTGCATATTTCTAGACCACTACGCTACGGAGCACCCGAAAAACATCGCCATCTGCAGCCATGAGTGCTCGTTGCTTACGTCCTATTCAGGTACATCAAGAAGCATGGCGCCTCTTCGCTCTAGGCAAAAAAGTTCACTGCAGTACTTATACAAACTCCCCGCCCCCTCCCATTCTCTACCCCCACTTGCGATATCATATTTTATACAGGAAATACCAGCCTGAAAAAATTGTTAATTCCCAGCTGCATTCCTAAACAGGATAACTAGTAAAGGTGACTGCTTTATTGACAGCACAAGCGGTTAAGTACCAAAATTCAGCTAAAAGATCTCGAACTCGAACATTGTAAAATGCAAAAAACATGTGTGATAAAAACACATCATGAAATCATCTACATGCCTCTATCATTTTGTTGATACTATCGGCTGGCTGCAGTGGCAGACTGAAGGGGGGGAAGGAGGGATGTGTCCCCCCCCAATGGGTCGCGAAAGTTTTGAAATTTACTTACGTGGGTGGTATAAAAATGTGCAATTGACTTGTTTATTTATGTAGACAGTTGAAATGATTTTAAAAATTTTTTAAAAATTCAAACTAGCCTTGTAAAAAAATTTTTTTCGCACCCCTTTTTCTTCATTTTAGAATGTATGGGGCCGCAAAAGACTTGAGAAGCACCCAAATTTTTTCGGAGTGCGTGGCTAACGCCATACACCTTCGTTCAAAAAGTTTTTTTGCCCCCCACCCCCCACCCTGGACAGAAATCCTGGGACCGACACTGGCTGGCTGATGATTGTTCTTTATTCAAATATTTCGTTCATTCGACAAATCGGAAGAATAAATTATTCGAGTATTCGAGAAGCGAGAAAAAAAAACAAATATTCAGCTATACAAAAAAATGAGAAGTTTCGGAAATCCTTATTCGAATCCGAATAATTATTGTATTCGGATGATATTCAGTTGTTCGTTTATTCGAATATCATTCGATCAAGTTCGGTTAATCGAATAATCTAAAGTTCTTTGGAATATGCCCATATTCGAATATTCAAATTCGAATAATATAAAAATCGGGAAAGCAATATTCGTTCATTTGGAAATTTTCAAATTCAGTTATTCGCTATTCATTCGTTCAATGAATTTTCAAAAATATTATTCGATATTTGTTCATTCGATGAAAACTTGCGTTCGTTACAACTATATCACAAACTCGCAAAAAGCATAGTTTATGGTTTGGTTTCGGTTAAAAATTTCTTGCGAAAATCTGTTACATTTATTACAATTACAGTTTCGGAGAAGAAAGTGGTTAAGACTACCTATTAGTTTCTCGGTGCTGATAGTTATATTTGAAAAGGTCATGCGAAAATTGAAATTCAAGTAGAGAGACCCCTTTGTAGCATCAAGGGTCGTTCTGTGATGCCACTTAGGCAGCATGTGCTTTTGTGGAAAATATGGATGCGACTTGACGGCCTTGATTTCACAGCGCATGCAGCTGCTAAGAGGTTCAAGATGGAATACGGCGCTGATGGCTGGCTGCTGAAATTCATTGCATTTCTATGCAAAATGATTAGCGTACTCATAATCAGCATGGCAGATAACCCCACCACACCAAATTTCAGCGGATTTTGTGATCTTCGCCCAGCTATCGTATAGCTATCGCAACCTCGCTAAATGGACCCGCAATCACAATAACATATACTTGATCAGGGCCACAATTATCGTACTGTACCAAGTTTCAGATAATTTTGTGGTTTTCGCTTTGCCGTATGGTTACCGTAGTCCCGCCCCGTGGCCCTGTAGCGAAAAACGACTATCATATTCGTGATCAGCATGCGAAGTAACCCCATTGTGCCAAGTTTCGACAAAATTCGTAATTTACGCTCAATTACCGTAACCTTACCGCGCTATATGGGCGAATGGTGAAAAATGAACATCATATTCGTGATCAGCGTGCCAAGTAACCCCAATTACCAATTTTCACTCGATTTAGTAATTTTCGTCCAATTACCGAATAGCTACCGTAATCCCGACTTGTGGCCCCGTAACGAAAAATGGGTATTGTATTCATGATCAGCGTACCAAAAAACCCCACTGTGCCAAGTTTCAGGCAATTTCGTGTTTTCATCCAACTACTTCCTACCGAACCGCGCTACATGGGGGAATAGCGAAAAATGAGCATCGGATTCGTGATCAGCACGTCTGATAACCCTCGGGACCAAAATTTTACAAAATTTCAAATTCTTGTATTCAACGGTGCACCATAATACCCCCATCATGCTTGATGAAACTCTAAAAAAATAAAATGAAAATCTACCCCGGAGGACTTTTTAGCTGCACCTCTGCGTGTGCACACTAATTCTCTTTCTCTGACCAAACTCGGAGTTAACTCCGAGTTTCGCGCGAGCCTGAAACGCGCACCAAACTTAGAGTTAACGTCTACCTCAAAGAGCGACTTCGGCCGGTTAATCGCGAGGCCGCGTTGAGTGTCCAAAGGTGGCAGACAGGCAAGTAATCGCTAACCGAAAGCGACCCAGTGCTTTCTTCTCTGATAAGCAAGCCGAGTTGAAGGGACAAATCCTCTGCCTCCATCAAAAGCTTGCATACTTATTCCGAGTGGTATGGGAGAGGCGTTCTTGGCGTCACCTTCAAGTAAGCTCCTTGCGGAGATTTTAAGCCAAATTGGCTATATCTGCAAGTAATTCAAATATTGAACAAAGTGTCATGTTAGGAAGTTATCATGTTGAGACTTTATAGGGTTTGTAGAGTAAGGTTTCTTCTACTAGAACTTGTCTTATTCGTACTCCACTGAAACAGCGCCGAGATCCAGGCTCTTGAAAAAGAGCTAAAAAAGCGCTTTTTGAAATTTAACAGCTCATAACTTTTTCAGAACTGCATGAATTATGTTGCGACTTCATAGGTTAGATTCTTCTCGTCAACAACTTTCAAATGATTTATAATCTGTGGAAGGGGGGGGGGGGTTAGGGCCTCTTACGACTTATGCCCTGGAAGGAGACTTTTCAACACAAATTCTCCCCTGGCGGCCTCCTCTTAGTGCATTGAAGTGGGCTGGATGGAGACGATGAAAATTCCCCCCCCCCCCGGGACGTAAGCCGTAGAAGGCCCCTCAATCCCTACATATTATATATCATCTGAAAGCTGTTGATGAAAAGAATCTAACCTATGAAGTCGCAACATGCATGCAGTTTTGAAGAAATTACGAGCTGTTGAAATTCAAAAAGCGTTTTTTACCTGCTTTTTCAAGACCCTGCATCTCGGCTCTGTCTCTCTGGATCGGTAAGGCTAAGATATATTCTGATAAGGCAAACCTTACTCTACAAAAAGTTTAAAGTCGCATCATCACACACTTCCACTTTCAAGATTTATATGAGTTCAACTGTCAGCTGTCATTAAACACGCTAAAAAGGCGTAGTTTTTAGAATTCTGATTTCGGCGACTATCTTTCAAATCGACTCAATAATTCACTTTCTGATAGAGCAGCGCTTACTCTTCAAAACTGTGAAGTTGCAATTGCTGATATCTTTGATCGCAAGATTTATAAAAGTGGAAATTTCGCATAATTTATCGCTGTTTTATTATTCAAAATTTTGGTTCTCGGCGGTCATTCCCTGGTTCGATCTACTTTCTTCGCTGTAAATTATAACAAAATTTACTTGATAAAATTCGTACAGTCCCGCTGACATTTACTTCCAAATACACCAATTACTAAACACGTTTATTTTGATTATTAGGTTGTCCGGAAAATAATGTCGCATCGTGTTTAATCATGCAATATCGCGGCAGGTGAGCAAGAAAGTAAGTAAACGGGGTACCACCCGATAGATCAAAAGAAGCTCTACCATGAATCTCGAGATTTTGCGCCAGGCTTAAGCATGAAGTTTGGAGCCAAATTTGATAAGGCACCAAAGATCTAAAAAGACGAAAAAAATCGTATCTCCGTTCGGAAACGTCCTGGGAATCCCTAACTTGCTCACATATTCACTATACGAGACACTCGTATGCACATTTTCGCGATTTTTTCATGGCTGGTACTTGAGAAAACGAAATTTGGCATATTGCTGCCAAAGCAATCCTGAGTTTCTCTCAAATAGGTGATTCTGTAGTATGAACCTTTGGGAGTATAATCTTAGATTTTCAGCTTTGAATAAGCGCTAGTTTTCGAGAAAAATTAAATTGTTTGCGAAAAACCCGAAAACCGCGACATGCTCGCACTTTTGTCCTGTTTTTGTTTGTCCTACTCATGGAAGAATTCCACAAACTATACAGGTAAATGTTTAATGTGGAGATTACATGCCTGTGCCAGTTGGAGGTCACTAAGACGTCTATGGACGGAGATACGATTTTTCGGGTATCTAAATTTTTTTATATTTTGGATTCGAACTTCAGGAAAAGCAAGATTTCCGCGGAGATTTGTAGACTATCTTGTAGAGCTCGCCTTAATCTATCAAATGATACCCCACTCGATGTTTTGTGGCCGCTCTATCGCGGTAGGATGCCATGCGACATTATTTTCCAGACAACCTAATATATATGCCGCCGTATACATAAAAATATGCTTTCGATAATCATTTTTGCGTTTGTTTTACTTATTTTTCTTCTTTATCGTCCAGCGAAAAAATTTTTATTCCAAAAATGAAGGTTGTCATCCTGTATTAGCTCAAAAGTGAAGGTAGGGGGAGAATCGGCTCCCACCATCGACTTCTGGTCCGGATTTGCATGGACTCATTGCCTTTAAGAGTCATTTTTAAACGCATTTTGATCGGTCATTAGTGCTGTCAATTTCCTTACGAAAAGCGGCAGTTTTAAGTGGGAAAGATTGGGATTTAGAGAATATGCTAATAGAACTCTTCCAATCATAGATGCGATAGGTGGAGAAATTTCTCTGACCCCCTTCACTTTAGGGCCGGCATCTGGCTGACCCCTTTCACCTGAGGTTGAGACTAATCAAGGCAAACAGCTATTACAACGGAACTTTTGTTTGGAAAGGAAACGCCAGCTGCTCTTCTCCTCAGACATCAAGACTGCAAGAGAGTATCGAATCAACAACGTTTCGTTAAAAAACGCATGCTTGAGACCTTCTGCGCGCTCAAAGGGCGTTGATAACAAAACGTAATCAAAAAGTAAAAGGTGATTTTTTGAATAATTAACGTTGTATCAATGAATACATACTTTGCAAAAAAGAGTTGAGCAAGAGTACAAAAATCTGAACCGACTAGCGATGGATGCATGTTTATTGACAAGAAATCACTCCATAGCTTTTTTCACTAGAGAGAATAATAACAAACAAAACAACAGTCAGATTACTCGTTTTTCATGCTTTCGATTCATATATAAAAGTTCGAAAAAGACCTTCTCGGTTCGAAAATATAATTATCCAAAATTGGCTGATATTGTAACTAGATAAAACTGCTCGTATCTCGCTTCACAGAGAAGCTACGAAAAAAGAGACGGTCTACGTCGATTCCTCGCGTTCTTAGCTATCGAATGGTATAAAAGGTGTTGGCGCACAAAACTTTCCCAGTCCAAAAAAGTCTTGCTCCGGCAAACCATAGAAAGCCGGAGCGGGGTGGAGCAAGTTACTATTGAATATCTCCACCTCATTTTTGAGAAAGCACAAGTTTTTTTACCCCACAACCTGTATAACATCAGAAAGCCCACAAAAAAAGGATTCGACGTAGACTGTCTCTTTTTCTCTAGCTCCCCTCTACTTAGAGTTACACGGGATTTTACCCAAAAAGATGTGTGTTTTTGTCGAGAGATTTCTGCGTGAAGAATGGATAAAGGTGCCTGATTTTCTAATTGCGTCACAGAGCAAGACCTTGCCAGTAAACGTAGACCGTCTCTTTTTTTAAATCTTTGTTCTTTCTTTCAAAAATAAATTACAAATTAATTACACAAAATCAGCTGGTGAGTAGGCGTATAAAATCGCTCGTATCTCGCTCTACAGAGAAGCTATGAAAAAAGAGACAGTCTACGTCGATTCTCCATAATCTCAGCTTTCGAACGGTGTAAAGCATGTTAAGGCTTTTTTGCTTCCCGGCTCTAAAAAGCACTTGCTTTGGTGACCGATAAAAGCCAATACATTGGGGGAGCTAAGTGGAGCCAGCTTATAGTAAATACCTCCACACCATTTCTAAAAACTGTCAGGTTTTTTCGCTCAGCCATCTATATACCATTCGAAAGCCCAGGAAAAGGGGACTCGACGTAGACCGTCGAATTCTTTCTAGCCGCTTTTTACCGAGAGATACACTGCATTTTACCTGAAATCATGTTCATTTTCGACAGCAAATTTCTGCCAAACGAAGACCTAATCTGCTGGTTATCTATCTGCGTTACAGAGCAAGTCTTCATTAGCAGACGTAGACCGTCGACTTTCTCGTAGTATTCTTTTGGAGAACAGAAAGAGGAAAATTAGTTGACACATGAAGTACATAAAATCCCTCATATCTCGAGGCACAAAAGACTTAGAAAAAAGCCGACGTTCTATGTCGATTCTATATGACCTCAGTTTTCGAATGGTAAGTAACTTGTTGGGGCATTTTGCTCTCAGGGCTCACTTACCCCCTTCACCTTACAAGGATGGGAGTAGCAGAGACCCCCTTCACCTGGAGAGGGCCCGGCTCCCCCTATCGCACCTATGCTTCCAATTAATGTTTTTGAATGTTATCTTTGTTTTGTTTTCTCTTTCCTGCATATTTACTTTCTTGGAAAAATGGTACCAATGTTCTTGTATATTTTTACTGAAAGTATGCCTAATCTTTCTGGAAAAAAGAGCGTTGCAGATCGGTAGAACATTCAAATAAAATTTTACGCCGCTATTGCGACAGCTTCAGTGGCTCTATAAGTTTGCTTGTTTCATTGTGTTTACAGTTCTTTCATTTTTTGTTTATGTGCTGATCTCTTCAATCCGGAAGGACTAATGCAGGACTGTGGAAAAGACGTGCGACGTAAGTGCGAGGCTGACCCGAAGTGTGTGGCTTCTCACTCAGACAGCGGATCGGACCCCTCCGGCGGAGAAATGGCAGGGCTGCGGGGTTTCCCCAGCGGAATGTCTGCCACTCGTGCTCCGGAGCCCCCCGATTTTGTGCGCCGGAGACCTCCCATTTCTGCTCCGGAGCCCTCCCATTGTGCTCCGGAGGCCCCCCATTTTGTGCTCCGGAGCCCTTCCATTTTGTGCTCCGGAGACCTCCCACTTGTGTTCCGGACCCCTCCGATTTTCTGCTCCGCGACTCGTCCAAATCTGGCGGACTCGCGGCGGGCAAATTTCTCCGCCGCGGCTCTGTCAAATCTGGCGTACCTCCGGAGCAGAAATGGCGTACTTTTGCAGCAGATCCGGAGAAGGGTCCCATTCGCCTGCCGGTGATGTCACCGCGACCTACAAGAAGGGACCACCCAATCGCCCTGCTCTCATTGGTCAACTGGGTCCGGCGCGACTCTGGCAGATTTCGACTGTCCGGCGGAGGGGTTCGATCGATTGTCTGAGCAAGGAGCACTCAGAGAAGCCAGGGACAATAATATCCTCGTAAACAATGCAAACAGAATGCGAGTTCACATGTGAAAAAGTCAACAAGCTGTTAAATTTTTGTTGAGAGGACCAAGCGAATTTAGTTAAATGCTCATTCACGTGATATTCGCTTAAAGACACGGTATACTCTCGACTTCCATTTTTTGTCGCTTTCAGCCGTTCTGAAGGCCCTGATTTCGAATATGGAGTCGAGAATCCGCCAAACCCCTAAAAATCCCCGTTTTGGAGAACTCGCTGCAACAAGCGCGGGGGAGAGAAAGCCTGCAAAGGCGACCACTCGGGTGCCGGAGCAAATTTCTCGCTCCGCAATCACACTTTTGCGGCGCAGCTTGGGGGTTTGCCTAGTGTGGGGGCCCACACAAGTATGCCCAAATTTCCTCAACCCTCACTTTAAGTAGACGGTGCCTTTAACGTTTACTCCAAAATCTCCTATTCCGATGCAACATAGGCTAATTAGCGTTTTGTGAGTGACATGCCGGAGTTTACGGTAATTGACGAAAACAGCTGAATGGAAAAAAAAACCATGCTCATGCAAAGCAACACCATTTTTCTGTCAGTGGAGCAGAATGGAGGTAGACGCGCTGCTATGGCTAAGTAACACGTTTATTCTGGAAGTGTACGCTACTTTTTGGAACAGCCAAACTGCTGATTTATCATGTTCTTTCTATTTCACACCACTGATTATGATTTGGAAGTATAGCTTAACTTTTATGGATAAAACCTCTGCAAGTACCAACGTTTCATCTATTCTTCTTGAATCGGATGTAACTTCGAACAGGGCTTGGCACGAGCTGGCACCGAGGAATTTACAAAACAAAGTCCCCCTTGATTTTTGCTAAGTTTTACGAAGTCCTTTTTGACCCTAAATCCTAAACGTAAAAAACCCCAAAAAACGAAACTTCGACCAAAAAAAACGTCGCATGTTGACAAAAACGATATCCCCTTTGCTTTTTGTCCCAAAAACGATATTCAACTTGCCCCTTGCCAGCTGGTGCCAGGCCCTGACTTCGAAACATTCGAAAATGTAGCAAACGTACCAAAAACACTTTCCGCTGAAGTTTGGGCATCAGATTTTCCAAAACGCGTTGCGTCAGATCGTCATTTCCTGAGAAGTAGTATGCGACACCGTACGAGCTATAATCTGGGCTATAATCTTCGTCAGTTCCTTGTCCATTTTCTTCGTCCTCCTCGAGCTCAGCTCCTTCTGTTGGGCACAAGAATAGTTCCACAACAGCAACTTTAAGTACTGTCCCCACCCTCGCCTGGTCCTCCGTCATCAGCAGTTGCATCTCCCGCATCCTCATTTGCTGCTGGCTCCCGTGCATCTACTGCCGTGTCAGGACCAGTGGCTGAATTTCCCACTCTAGCTGGAGGTTCCGCCACAGCAGAATCTAGCAATTTTGTATCCGTTTTTGATGCTTCGACATTTAACGGTAATAATTTTTACACAATCGTACCTGATTCAGTATCCGCAATCACAGTCACGGTAGGTAGGAAAGCAAAAAGGAAGAGCACCTTAAATCAACTTGTCAATCTCGAATCCAATCATTAGCAGTAATTGCAGTCCAGCAGCGCACAACAATCACTCACATTCATAAATGAGCGAATGCGCGGCATTTTCCAATGAGGTTTTAACCCCCAGGCGATTTTTATACGTTTGCACACAGTTGTGCTTTTCAAGTGCTGGTTTGGTACATTTACCCTGTAATTACTTCGGTCTGTGACTGAAGTTAATAAGCTTGTGTGGCTACACCCAAAAATAGCGCGTTTGCAAACTTGAAATTTGATTCTCATTGTACTAGAGGTGAAGCTGTACCGGCCTATGTGTTGTAAGAGTGCTTCAATAACACCACTCATAGCTTCGAAGAATGTGAAAAAATTCATCAGCTCTAGTAGTGCTTTCTAAGAGTGCTGAATTAGTGCCACTGTGAGCACTATTCCCTCGTTGCTTTTAGCTATGTCACAGCTTCCATCTAATGCTTTCCACTTAAGGTTTTACTTATCCTTGAAGTCGCACAGTCTGTTCCATTAACAGTTCCTTCTTCCTTCTTCCCTATTCTTTTGATAAGAAGTATATCGAACTGATATGGTTTATGGTCCTTCTCCAACAAGATTACCAGTAGAAAATGTTAAGGATAACTTGTAATTGTACTTTTGTACATGTTTCACCAACGGGCTCAATACGCTAGACTATCACACCTATCCATTGCACGATTTCACAGCAATAGTATTGTAGATCTTGATAGTGCTACAAAACAACAACTGCTGGAGCAGTTAGCTTTATTAGATATTCTTGCAGAAAACCGGCATCAGCTTATTTTCAGCTTTCATTATCGAAGGCAATGTCAAGAGAGTTAGTCAGTGAAAAGAGACTCTAATTCCTAGCTCATCCTGATTCTTCTTAGAAAAGTAGTCTAGGTGAAAGGATCTACACTGAAACGTTTACAGAAGGTTTGAAGAGTTAATAACAGGGCTCGGCACGAGGTGGCTAGATGAAAATGCAAAAAACGAAGTCCCCCTTGACTTTTGGGTATTTTTACGAAGTCCCCTTTGACCCCCCCCCCACCATATTCCCTAAAAATCCTCCAAGAAAACGAAACGTCGACTAAAAAAAACGTCGCCAAATAGCCAATTTTGCGTGTCTCTTCGGTCACAAAAACGAAACCCCCTTGGCTTTTCGTCCCAAAAACGATATCCAGCTTGCTTGTAAGCCACCTCGTGCCGAGCCCTGGTTAATAAGATATGTTTGACAAGCCGTCACTCACATTCAAAGCTCGCCCCCAAGTTCTGGAAGTGAGTGATTTTTTATACGGTGACATGCGAGATGAAGGTGAAATTATCACCGGCAAGGAGCAGGGTTACTACTGGTAATGTAAATCCAGCGGCTATTCTTGTAACTTTTTTAAAAACATGTAATAGGATCCCCATAGTATAAGAAGACAGTGAAGAGTCAAATCATAAAGTGGGAAGCACTAATAACATTCCGACCAATTGACAGCAATCATGAATTTTACCCATTCTATAATTATGCGACTTGAAACTATCGACGTCTTCGCAGGAGACTGGAAGTGCATCCGCCTTCAAAGCCAAAAGCCTAAAAGTCCAAAAAACCCCACAAGATTCTCGTTACAACTTATCATAACTTTAAATCTGCCAGCAAACATTATCCTGTTCAAGTTGGTGTAAATTTTCACGAGTTCAAAAAGCAAAAAGAAGTCGACGTCCGACAAGTACAAAAGATCTTTGCTCAGGTAGTTCACCATCAACGGTCTCTCATCAAAATGAGCCAACACTATTGGGTATGATCTGTTGTCAACGCTTATGTACCCTGAACGCACTTACTGATTGTTTCACCACGAAAATACTCATGATCACTGTGCAAAATTTTGTGAAATTCTTTCCGGGAAGGTTTTCTGGCGAAACTATTTGATGTTTGGAGAAGAAGGAGGCTGCGAGGTAGTAGTAAATCACTGCGAAAGTCAAGTGCGAAATTTTTGATAAGCCTTCACTTGCATTTTGGTATGTAGATTTTTGCATTTAATGTGATTTAAATGTAAGCACTTGAGTCCCTGCCCATGTAATCCTATTATTTTCTTCTCGGATTTAGCCTTCCTTCAGATGTGCGCGTAGGTATATAAACTTTCACAAAAGATTACTGAAAAACTGGGTAACACTTGCACGTTGTTCAAAATAATACACGATGTTGATTACTGCAAAAAAACTTTGGCTTTTATCGAGGCTGACTTACATCGTCATGTCAGTTTGCAAAAAAAGTTATTCCAAATTTTTACTGGTTTGCACTGCACCATCACATCGCCTTTCCCGGATCCTACCTATGAAAGGGAATGTTGATCACTATGCAAACATCCTTATGAGACAAACCAGAAAGTTCTATTCAAAAATAACAAAATGACTAGAATTAGAGATATCGCACGGTGTTGATTAGCTTTGCCTGCGTAACAGGCCGTCAACGCAAGGACCAGCAGTCCACGGAGGAGGTAACTAGTTGAGGTATTCATGCCTAACCCAATTTCACTCACAAGCGTATTAAAAATTACGGATATTTTCTAACCAGGAACTATGAGCATTGGGAAGCAAATCTGAGCATGCTATTGAGGAATTCTCAAAACTGTTTAGTGTGCGCTCAGTTCTAGCAGGAATGACTCTCAGGTCCTGCATGCAGTGCTTTTAAATAATATGCACAGGTTTGTCACTATTTTATTGGTGGAACTCTGATTCACTCCATGAAATCTCACAACTTCTCCATTAGAGGCACACCGCAAATGACAGGAACAAACTTACACAAACTTCTCTGGAAAGGAAATGCAGAAACAAAAGCTTCATATCTCAAAGCTCCAGAAATCTTGATTTCAAAGTGTTCATACATCCTCAATTATTTCTACCGCTTTTTAATATGACCATATTCAACAGTAGAGCATCGCTGCTTAGGCCACGCTTCAGCTTTTTGTATAATCTAGGTCCAGCAATCATCTGTGTTTTCTTTGAAGTTAGTGAAAAGTTCCAAAATTGTACTAATTAGCTAATCCAACAACCTTGAGCCTGATTCTGGTAGAAAGAGATGACGTACATTTCCAGTATACTCAAAAGTCATCTGATTCCATAAGAAACATGCCTTCCAATGCTCGATCAGCTAAATACTACAGCTTTGAGATGATTTCGTCACAAAATTACACTGGTATGATTATGTTCATAGTAAAGGGCAATAGAGATAATAAAGAGTGGACAAACATTGTAAATTTAGATTTCTAAGCTAGTTTATAGATACCTCTTAACAAAGGAAAGATCAGCAGTTCAAGTGGTTCTAAATCTGCAGCAGCTAAAAGCCTTTGTAGGAGAAGCTGTGAGCGGTTGTACGGCAAGAAAATTGTACATACGAACTACGATCTCGTGCACATTATTGTCTTTTAAGCCCACCTTTAGGTATGAATAAAGTAACTTACTAGGGAAGGATCCCAAATCGCAGAGGCGATTTTGGATAATGCTTATCGCTGAATGCGTTTGTGAACTAATTTCCCTGTCTTCCTTGTCTGCTGCGGAGTCCTCTGAAAAAAGTTATGAGCATTCGAAGTTCGGTTGTTCTGAATCTTGGCATGACAAATGTTCATGTGTGAGACTGTTTCGACGACGGCTAGGATCTGTACCAATTCTTTTGGCTAACGTTTCGCGATCTCGCCTTCGCCAGAGCCCTGTAAACTCGAAGTTCAATTAATCCTTTCACGCATATGCCAATAAAGAGTCAGCCTAACTTTTGATCGAGGTAGAGTAACAACGCGGATTACGGTAGTTGATACCAACCTCTGAGACAGCTCGAGAGCCGAAATGAACACGTTCTAACAAGGCCATTCCTCTTCTTTTCTTATATGTGCTGATTCTGCATCGAAACCGCACATGGATTGGTAGCACGACGGCTCCTGCGTGATAGCAGTGCGCTCTTTCTTAGCGCTCATCTTTGGATTTTTCGCGTTTGTCCAAAACGTTTCTAAAGTTTTGCGTGCTAGGGTACTAGGCTTAGACGATAAGATCTTGACCCCAATTTGACGCTTCTGCTAAAAAAAATTCGACTCATTGGCAAAAAACCGAGCATTCATTCAAATTTGGTTCCGAAGTGCGTAAAAATTGGAATTCAGAAAGTCAGAAGCAATTCAGAATTTTCAGCAAAAATGAGTCTTTGTCCACAGATGTCAAATTTTAACTTCTTTCGTAACCAAAATTGATTGAATATTTAGTTTTCACTGAAAAAATCAGGTTTTTTTTGCAAAAAACACTTAAGGCGTAATTGATTTTCTTGGAATTTGGGTGGATAAAGGATACCAGCAGATTTTGGATAAAGGAGATTGCCAAGAGGCTCTATGCGCAGAACTTTGATTTTCCCACTTCGGGACCAGAATTGATTAAATGCTTTATTCTGTCACTCCTCAGTGTTTAGTATTTGGGTAGAAAAATCAGGTTATTTTGGAAAACCCCTTCTCAGAGGCGTGTTAAATGGATTTTTCTGGAATTTATGTGGAAGAGGGAGATAAATTTGTCAAAATGAGGCTCCACTTTACAGTGTTTTTTGGTTTTTCAAGGCCCATCGGAACCAAATTGATTGAATGCTCGGTTTTCTGCCAAGGAGTCAATTTTTTTTAGCAGAAGCGCTCCAGATCACAGTCGAGGTGTTCGAAATCGCATATACGATCGCACGTGCTTGACCTTAGATTGCGTGGTATGCCCATTCAGCGAAAAGAGTGATTGTATGACTTCAGGGCCTGTAGTAAACCCCCCGGACGTCGTGACGTATAGCTCGGAGTATGCTGTGACATGTGCTGACTATCATGGAGCGAGGCTGGCAAAGCGGCTATCCTTTATCATTGCCGGCGGATGCAATCGATGCGTAGCGTCAGGGTAGTCGCACTTTGTCGCGATATGTCGCGACATATCGCGACATATAGCGACATATTGCGACATGTCGTGACGAACAAGACGGCGAAATACTTTGTCCATCATAGAGACGCAGAGACATAGCGCAAGACTAGAGCTCGACTACGCCAACCTCGCAATAGGTCGCACATGCACACAGTTCTCTATAACGCACGTCAACCGCAATCAATATCAAC